TAGCAATTGCTTACACCCAACATAGTTATAACCGGGTACCAAGGACCCAATCCATCAGCGTCTCAATTTTTCAATGAATGGCAAGACAACTATGAGTTAGCCTGAGCCTGCCTACATAAAGCAGGGAAACATACTAAGAAGTGGGCATACAAAAATCGAAGGGACGTAAATTTTCAAGAAGAAGACCTAGTCCTTGCCAAACTTATAAACATCTTACACAACCAAGACAGACATAAAGGGTTGGTACGAAGATACGAAGGACCATTCAAAATCAAGAAATGAATAGGCACCATGGCCTACAAGTTAGACTTACCATAAACTATCAGGGTTCACCCTGTGTTACAAGTGAGCCTACTCAAGGTTTTTCACCCAGACAAAGATGATCCTGACCGAAATATTTCCCATCGAGCTCTAGTTGAAATAAAAGCCTCTTACGAAAGGGAAGTTGAACCCATCCACACTGAAAGAGCCAATCACCTAGTGGAGCACAAACCAAGGCACATATACCTTGTCTAATGGAAGGGGCTTCCCGAAAGCAAGGGGAGCTGGGAACCTGCCGAAGCCCTATGGAAATTCAAGAACAAAATCGAGCAATTTCATTCAAACTAAGTGACGAGGGCATCTCTAGAACTAGTGGGGAGAATGTCACGGACTGCGACCATGAAGGTGAGTCCAACATCCACCAACACACACCCGCGCACACCAAAGCACTCTAAGACCCAGACACATCAGGCAGCACGCCAAGTCAGCCCGATGGGCCAAGTTCGCACCAGAATCGGATAAGACTAAGCACACCATGACTCGAGCCCTCTCTAAGCCAAGACCGATCCTCTTTAATAAAAGGGACAAAGCCACCATCCTTGTTTAAGTAGGATTCAACCTTTAGACTTTTAACTAAAGCAGGGGTGTACTTTTAGTTATAGTAGAAGTAGACTTAGTCATTAACTCTTAGGGGATTCTCATTATAAAAGTGGGCCTTCCCACCCCCATTGCATTCATTCATTCATTCATTCTCTTGTAAATAAGATTAACCCGGCTTTCAAGCCAAATACTCTCGTGCATCTCTTATTTCCGTTCATACACATTTTGTTCTTACTTTTGCAACAAGTTAAGCAACCAAACTTAGGTTTCAAGGCTTCCTTAGCACCCAACAACCGAACAAAGCGACTAATGACCGTACGGACCAGCTAGCTAACAGTCTAGCCATGTGTCAGTTAGGCTTGATTATAAAATAAGTAATCAAATTATGTGATTTTCATAAATATGTGTCTAAACCTTTTTTTTTGAAAGATTTATATGTTTAACATTATAAATGTTATCACTTTAAGTAGCCGACCCTTAAAAAGTCTATTAAGTGATATATGTTACGTTATGATAATTTTAAAATTTTTATTTTTAAAATAAAATATAAAATATTATTCTTTTTAAAAATATTCCCCTACCTCACCCCGTCATCACCTACTTCTATTCCCCCTCCCTCTATAATTTCCCACTCCACACAGCCTCCCTCCATCACGTCTCTATTGATTCGTCAAGCTGTCGGCCACCATCACTGCCGAGCCACACACCCGCTGACCACCATCACCCACCCACCTAATTGCCATCATCACTATTAGAAATAAACTAGCAGTTAGGTCGTTATGATTAGTTAGAGATTAGTTAGTTTGTTAGCATATTGTTAAGGTTGATATAAACCTATTGAATATTGAGTTAAGACTGAGTCTTTGTAATATATTCTAGAGAAAATAACTTCAGTGACCGAAAATGCCTTATAATATACGATTTTAACCAACTTTTTTTGGATTTGCGAAAATGACCAACAAATTCGCAACACGAACTCCAACTTCGCAACTCAGTTTGGAAAATCGCGACGCGAATATGTAAATCGCAACGCGGTTTTCCAAATTCGCAACGTGAATATATAAATCACAACTCGAATTTGTAAATCGCAACACAGAAGTCAAATTCGCAACATATAAGTCAAATTCGCAACACACAATTAAAATTCGCATTGCGAATTTCACTTTCGCAACACGCACACACCTTTCGCAACACGCACACTTTGCTGCCTTTCGCAACACACAATTATGGTTGACCCTTTCGCTTTTGCTGATGGGTTTTACAGGTCTTGGATCATCGAAAAACTCTCCCCCATAAACGTTGAAGCTGTCCAATGAGCTTGTTGATAAACGTGGGGGATAGGGATGTGAGGAAGGAGATGAAGGGGAAGAAAATGTCATCGACCGAAGACAAATTGACAATGATCGAAGATGGGGTTTCGGATTTACAATCGGTGACTGAATCGGAAGATGAACGGAAAGAGACTGTAAAGGAGAATTCATGAGAATGAGCTTAAACAAGGGATAATACTGATGATGATATACCCTTTTATTTATTTCCTCTTCTAACTTGCTTTCTTCTTCTTCTTCATATTGCTGATGACGAGTGCTTAAATTTGTTTTCTTCAATTCGGAAGTAAAATCCGAAGTCTCCTTCATTGCTTTCAAGTCAAAGTCAATGCTCCTCATTGCTTTGCATTTTTCTTTGGATCTAAGTATGTTCTTTTCACTTGCAGCAAAGGTCAACATTACCAGCTTAAAATGCTAAGCTAAACTCAAATCAAGCATTGGTTTAATTTTGAAATTAATATAATATATTGAGCAGTACAGTTAATTGTTTAATGTTGAGTTCCTGTTAGATTCACAACACATAATTGAAATTCGCGTTGCGAATTTCAATTTCGCAACACACAGTTGAGAGCTCTAAAAGGATGGATGCTGGGTGTCGGTAAACATGGGGAGGGATTTAGGTTCTTTGAGAGAGGGAGTGGGGATTGGGTTTTAACGAAATTCATTTACAGAATCTGAGAAAGCCATCTTATTACATCCCATCTTATTTCACAACGCGGGTTCGCAATTCGCAACGCGGGTTCACAATTCGCAACGTGGGTTGGGATGAAATTATGATAAATATGTTCTTAATTATAAGTTTACACGAATTTAACCAACTTTTCCTCCACACAGCTTTGGTTTCGCAAATTCGAGTTACGACTTTCACAGCTGGGGTTCTTCGCCTTTCTTTTCCTCCTCCACACAACTTTGGTTTCGCAACACAGCTTTGGTTTCGCAACGCAACTTTGGCTTCGCAACACAGCTTTGGTTATCGCAAATTCGAGTTACGAATTTCACGGCTGGGGTTCTTCGCCTTTCTTTTCCTCCTCCACTATCTTTCATTCTTCAACCTGTTTCTCTTCCACTTCCTTCCCCTCCACTGTTTTTTGTTTTTCTTCCTGCAAATAAAAAAGAACCGGGCGGAATTAAGCAAACTGCATAGAAAACCAGAAGAAAAAGAATACGAGTTTAAAAATTGTGTTGAAAAAAATCGCGTTGCGGAAAAGAAATTCGAGTTGCGAATTTGGAAACTGTATTACGAAATTGGAGTTCGCGTTGCGAATTTGTTGGTCATTTTCGTAAATCCAAAAAATGTTGGTTAAAATCGTATATTATAAGGTATTTTCGGTCACTGAAGTTATTTTCTCTATTTTCTATCAGTTTAGTAAAATCCTATTTCTCTTTTATTTGTACTCGTCAGTCGTCACAAACTATATTTACAATTTTCTCTTTCTTGGCTGCCGCCGTTCGGCAGCTTTCGGCCACCATGTCGGACCTTCAACAGTTCAACATGAAATTAGAGGCAGACGGTCCTGACATTGTTTTTCCTTCATCGCTTGGAGGTTGTTGGAGCCATCCTGACTGCTTTCGCTGCCTTTAATCACCCTCTTGTTGTTGATGATGCCTTCGTCACTAATGCAGATTATTCTCATATATAAAATCTACCACTGTGTTATCCATTCATTGTGTCTGTGGTATCTCCGATTGTTTATTATCTACACCGATTCACCATAACTTCCTCTGTTTCAGATCAGAGTCTCAGATCTGAACCTGGTTTCTCGAACGTCAGTTTGTTGTTCATTTTGTGTCCTGTTTCGATCATGGCTAGCAGTGTTTCGATTGGCCATTTGCTGCATGTAAATTTTTTGACAAAATGCATGAATGAGCTTTTAGGTGTGAGGGATTGTGAAACAGTGTTGCTTTTTTTTTGACGTTACACATCTTTGGGTCATTTTGTGTTGTCATACGCACAAGTATGGTATGATGGGAAGATTGAATGTTGCACATTTTTTTTTTGGATGATGAGCTTTGCCTAGCTTCCAAATTTTTCCTACTAGTCCAATGGTGATTTTATTTCTATTGGTGGATTGGCTGTTAGGTTTAATGTCTTGTAGTAATTGATCTACATTGGAGATTTCAACATTTTGATTTCTGCTTATTGATGTTAGAAGCCACTAAATTTGGATTCTAGCATTTTTCGAATCCACTGATGATTATGTGTTGGATTTGATCCTCTATTTTGTTCGTTGTAAGTTAACTGTTTCCATCTGCTTTGATGACATGTTCGACTACCCATATTTCTGCTCCATTCCACAGATTGATTTAGTTCTAAGCTGATATTGCTGTTGAATAGTGGACACTTTTACTACAAATTTGGGTTGCTCGGTTAATTTCAGTTTGCATTTCTTTGTTACCTGTTTGCTTCTCTCACTAGGTGATCATGAAACTTTGAAGCTTAACAATCAAGTTTACATGGAAAGAAAATTGTCTGGGGAGAATTAAGAGTTTAACAGCCTTGTCATTCTTAATCAGGAAAAAATATGATTTTTTTTGTCCGATAGAGGCTACAGATTGCACCTAGATGCTCATAACTTAACCGTCTTTCTTCTAAAAAAGTCCGAATAACTGGAGGACAGTGAAGATGAAACAAACCAGAAAGCATAAAGAGTTTTTTTTATTTATTTAGTAATATACTGAAGTGCTCAAGAACCAACTTAGTGTCCATGTCTACATCAGCTCACTATGTTTTTATTTCTTGTTGAAGAATTGATATTTTTGGAGAAGATTGAAGAAGCACGGAGAATGTTAGAAATAAACTAGTTAGGTTGTTGTAATTAGTTGGAGATTAATTGGTTTGTTAGCTTATTGTTAAGGGCTATATAAGCCTACTGAAAATTGAGCTAAGGCCGAGTCTTTGTAATCTTTTCTATAAGTTTAGTAAAATCATATTTCTCTTTTATTTGTACTATTCACAAAATATAATTACCGACTTCCCTTCCACCTTTGGCTGCCGCTGTTCAACAGCTTTCGGCCACCGTGCCGGACCTTCAATATTTCAACAATCACCTACCATTAGGTTCAATAAAAAGACATTATGCATAGAACATAAGCTTCCTACTTTAAAGTAGCAAACCGAAGACCATGATAATCGCCGTGCAAGAATATAGATGCAATAGGCAACATCGACCCGAGGCGTAGTAGCTAAAACGACAACGAAAATTGCTGCAACAAAGCGAGAGAGTCTAAGTTATAAGAAAGCGAGAGAGTCTAATTTACCAAATATTATAATCCACGAAAGTGTGTATGGTGGTCATTAGGTGGGTGGGTGATGGTGGTTGACGGGTGTGTGGTTTGGCAGTGATGGTATCGTCGGCTTGCCGGTTCAATGGAGACTGAGGGAGAGAGACTGGGTGTGGGGTGGGGACTTGTAGAGGGAGGGGGACTGGAAATAGGGGATTACTGGGAAGGGATTTGAAAAATAAAAATATTTTATATTTTATTTTAAAAATAAAATTTTTAGAATTATCATAACGTAATATGTGTAAGTTAACGAAGTTTTTTAACAACTTTTACAATTGAGAACCTAAACTGATAATGTTTGTAACGTTAGTCATTTTAATGATTTGAAAAAAAATTAAACACCTAATTAAAAAAAACGACATAAAATGAACACTTATTTTATAATTAAATCTTTATGTTAATATATATATATCTTTTACATATATCGTGCACGTATATCTTTATAGAAATTATTAAATAATAAAATATTTTTATCTAGATTTTACCTGTTTTAAACTATTAAAAAACAATATTTTTTTATTGTTTAAATTCTTATTGTTTTGATTGTTTCATACATGAAATTAATCATGTATAATTGTTACTTTATTTTAACAAAATTGCCCTCAAGTTTATTCCTATAGATAGCTTTGAAATTTCTTCATTCTGGACATAAAAAAATTCTCATATGAATTTCTATCTGTTTTATTTTTCTTCTTGTTGGTCAAAATTTTTATGGGGAAAATAATATCAATTATTTTTTTAATATTAGGATGTGTCGACACCGTTTTTTACCCGGACGGAAAAAGATCGATACCGACTCGGGAGTTTTCTCTTGAATTTTTTTTTTAAAAATGTGAGGAGTCGCCACCAATAATTTAAAGTGCGATTGGGACACCATAAAAATTGGGTTATTTTAATAAAATATTTTATTTTTATCAAAATGACAAATTTTAAGGTCTGCGAAAATTCAAAAATCGAGTTTGGGAGTCAATTATACGTAGGGAAGGATTAGCACCTCACAAGCGCCCAAAATTTGGTACCTAATAGATTACCCTATATTTAAAATCGAAAATCAATCTTTATTTAATTTGAAAATCATTACAGATGCAAAGTTGAAAAGGGTATTCGTTTATTGAGACTGACAGCATTCGCTCCCAAGCGTAAATGCGGGAGATAAACTATTGTGTCTAATAACCAAATATTGTCTCATTTTTAGAAAATCATGATGTGATCTTTAAAAAGAATGTCGACCTATTTCGAGAATCACTAGTAGACACCCTGAACACACTTGCGAAAGATACGTTATAAATTCTCTAATGTAATCACCAATTTTCATATTTTTAAAAGTAAAAAAAGCCATCCCCTGCAGAAGCAAGGACACCAACATACCTGCTGAAGCACCCCAAGCCATCTCGGTTGTTGTGCTCCTACCCAAGCCATGCTGATCCCCATACCCCACGCCATACTCTGCAGCAACAGCAGTAAGGTCACCATTTCTCACAAATTACGACACCTTCAATTGCCAATCAGTTTTTTAATTCCATTTCAGTTTGTAAATGGTATATAACCCGAGAGAAAAATAATGTAATAAAGGGGGGAACATTTTTCTCAGCAAATAAAAAAAAAACAGAACGTAAAGGAAATTTACGAGCAAAGAGGTATTCTAATTTTTCATTCTCAGTTTATTAGTTCAATTGTTGGAATGCAATTAAAAAAACAGAGTTTAGTTTCTAGTTTAGTTGTTTGTGTTATGCTAATTCGATGCTTTCTAAAAAGAAATAAAATATAGGAGTTTAGATTTACCTAGTTGCCGTTGGGTTCGCCGGGGTAGCACGGTTGTCAAGGAGAGGGAATAGGCGATGTTGATTTGAGGTCGAGGGACCACTACATATGGTGTTCCGGTGTTTGGTTATATGTCGAGGAAAGGAGATGGCCAAGTCGATGTTGAGGGGTTGTCCTCGTGTGCTTCCCACGCCTTGTAAATCTCGATCGGAGTGGAATGGCCACCCATGTAGGGTGGCCGAGGTGACGAAGGCTCCGGCTCGTCGGAGGGTGGGTTGCCAAGAAGGAGGTGAGCGAGTGAAGAGATGAAGGAGATAGAGTGTTAGGGATTTGAGAGTAATCGGGCAGATTGGAATTGAGGGAGAAGTGGAAGTTTTCTTATTTTGGTAATTTTGGGTAAATCACGTTAAGGTCCCTATAGTTTTAGCGTGTTTTTATATTTAGGTCAGCAAATTGTGGCATAATCAACCCTAGGTCCTTGAACTTTTGGAATCTATTTGTATTCTGGTAATTAGTTTATGGGTAAATTGTTGTGTGGTCCTTGTCTTTAGCAGATGTAGCGTTTTGGTCGAATGTTAGTGGGTAAATCTCCCTTAGGTACCTTATATCTTGTCGTGTTCTACATTTTAGTCCCTAAATCCCTATGTTTTATTTATTTTATTTTTAACACTTTAGTTTTAATATTTTCAATTTAGTCACTGAAGCTCTTTTATTTTATTTTATTTCGAATTTTGATACACTGTCTCGTTTATTTTAATTTGGTCATTAATTTATGACTTTTTATTTTAAATTAACCACTGACTTTTTATTTTCTTGCACTTTAACCACTATTATATTTATTTATTTATTTATTGTTATTATTCGAATCAACTTTGAGGTGACTGGATTCGGGGTAAGACTCACATTATTTACTGTCTGAGAATATTAAAATTAACACTAACATTTATTTTATTACTCTTTTATTATTTTTTTTATTTAATTTTATGCACATTTAAATTTTTGCCCTTTACTTTTTATTTATTTAATTTCAGTCCTTAAGTTTCATTGTTAATTTTCTATTTTTTATTTCGGTTCTTTATCTTTCAGTACTTTAATTTCAGTCCTTTAATTATAGCACCTTACATTATGTTTATTTTATTTTGATCCTTTTTTCTTGGTCTTGCTATACCATTTTATGTTGTTTTGATTTTAGGAACTTTAATTTCTCTTATTTACATTTAAATATTTTTCATTTATTGCAATTTACTTACGACCCTTTATTTAAGCTTTATTATTTTCGCATTTTAATTTTTGTCATGATCATTTTAGTATATATTTTCCTTTGTTTGTTTATTTAAATCGATATTTATTCTGTAAAGTATGCACTTGTTGATTTAGTCAAATTTTATTTCTAGCATTGAATATCATTTAATTTTCATCTTTGCTTTGATTTCCAATTATTTGTTCCTAATTGGTTATTTTTTAATTTTTTTAGCTTTTTCCATGTAAATTTGTTTGTGCATTTAGATCTAGACATTTCGAATATACATTAAAGTCTCATAAGTATAACTTAATTGATTTCATAATTGGATTAAAGATAGTATTTATTTATTTTAAAATATTAGGAAATGATCGTCTTAAAGTAACTAGATGTCATATTTTAATATTAAAAAATACCCTACTAAAAGAACCTAAAAATCGTCTTAAAAACTCTTTTAAAAGGCAGTTTATGGGTATTCAACCTACCAAACTCAAAAGGTCGATGATGACTCCTCACATTTCAAAACCTTTTCAAAATAAAATCCCCCAAGTCGTACTAAATTTTTATCTGCCCAGGCCAAAAACGGTGTCAACACCTAATAAGTGAATATTGCCTTAGGTTTTAAAAGAAACAATGCAATCAAATAAATTTTTATTTAATCCTAATTAAGCTAAGGTAAATTAAAGGGTTTTTTCTAGCTTAAGGTGTCAAATATGAAAATTAAAGAACCTAAAGGCATAAACCTAGAAGTGTATGTTCTAATATTAACCAAATCTGATTTTAAACCAATTATTAAATTAAATAATCGAGATGGTCCCTCGAGCATTTACGTGAGTACCAACTCGATTTATCCCCTAAATTAAAAGACTAGTTTGAAATTTAATTAAAAGTGGAGGTTCTATTTAACCTATTTAATTATGTTAAAATTAAAACACTAATCAAAGTCTGGGGATTAAAAAGGTCAAGATCTAAAAAATATTGATTTCTAAAAGATCTAAAAGCTTATGACCTAAATCAATAAATTCTAAAGTTGAGGGCTAAATCTAAACTAAAAATATGATTATTTTCTAAATTATTAAACCTAAAGTATTTTTTAGAAAATATTAATTATTAATAATTTTAAAAGTCGAGCAATCGATTCGAGTAATCGAGCATCTTATGCGAAAACTCGACTCGAATTGCTCCCTAATGAATAACTAACGTGTCATCCTAATTTCTAAGCTTGACTCGAACGTTAATCTAATTTAGAATTAAATCTAAGAATTCAAACTATGAAACAAAACAATTAATATTAAACTTAATTAAAATAATAAAACAACAAATAATAAAATAAAATTGTAAAAGAATAAAATAAAACATAAAATAAACCTAAATACAAGGACCAAATTGCATAAAATAAAATAACAATGACTAAAATACAAGAAAATAAAAGTTAGTAGTTAAATAAGAAATAAATAGTGACAAAAATGCAAAAAATTAAAGGACCACATCCAATTCCAAAATAAATAAAGATAACAGAACCTAATTAGTGATTAAAATGTAGCAGCATAAAATTCAGTAATCAATTTCAAATAAATGGACAAATAAAACAGTGATTAAATTAAATTAAAATAGAAAACGAGTACCGAAATAAAAAAAAAGGAAAGAGTGTACTGGGTGACTAAAATTCAAAGACTCGGTAAGATGTAGGGGACCTACACGATAATTTGACCTTAAAACTAGTGGCTAAGACATAAAATTGTATTAAAATATCAATGACCTATATGTAATTTTCCACCTGAAATATAGTAACAAACATAATAGGTAAATTAATAAAATTAAACAACAATTATTGAAATAAATGTGAAAAAGTCACAGCATGTGACTAAAAAGTAAAAACGCGGCTAATGTTAGGGGATTTAAGACGAAATATCCCCTAATCTCATGCTATAAAACCCAACCTTTTTTTTTGTTTAAGCTCATTTACTCCATCACCCAGAAAGAACTTTCCCCTTCTCTGAAAAAAACCTCACACTCCCTTTTCCTCTCGACTGGCGCAGCTTATCGGCAAACTATAAACCCCAAAATCGACCACCAATTGGGTGGCCACCTCATACTCCGATCGACTATCGAGGAGGCCAAAAAAGAGGCTGAACCACCCCAAAACGCTTAAAGCCGCTACCTTTCTTATTATCTCCTCTCCACCTTCGGTCGAGAGCCTCCCTAGGCGCAAACTCGACCCCGACAGAGCCACACCAACCTTCTAGTAAACCTAAAATATTTATTCTTCTCTCAAAAGAACCTATATTGAATCCCATACCCAAACGAAAACCTAAAGGCCATTGGTTTTTTTCTTAACCGACCCCGCTACAAGCCCTAACCACCACCAACGGTGGTCGGATGAACCAAAATTATGCCCTAAACAAACCAAACCTTCCTTCCTTCCTTCTTCTAAAACCTAAACCAGAGAACTCGAGAGTGAAACTGACCCCCTAATCTATAAGTATACCACGAATGACGTTCGAAGGACACCGTCCCTTCGACTTTCTAACCCCGATAGCAAGGACACCCCTGCTCCTATGAGGAACTCACATGTAAACAACTCTCTCCTCTCTACTATTTTAGTTTGAATATAATAAAATAAACTTAGATGTTGGAAATGAAAGACAAAGATCAAGATAAAAACCTTAAGTATGCTTGTATTGGTATTTTCTCTAATCTAAAAAAATCCTCCCTTACAATTGTACTTGGGTTCTTTATACCCATATTACATGTGAAATAACCAAAATAAATATATGGGTTTGGCAGGGAAATGGTGAGCACAGGGCATGGCCTGCTCGGTTGGTGGTGTCATCAGCATGGCTTGGGCATAAGCAAGTTAAGGATTCTTTGACTTTTAATTTTTTATTAGGTGAAAATTGGTTATTATAGCTGCCCCTCTTTGCTATTTATTGTGAAACATGAATAGAGCAAAGACGTAAGGCACCAATTTTCATCTATTAGGTCCATCAGTGAAATTTTGAGTTCCATGTTCTTCTCGTTATGAACTTTTTACTCTTCTGTTCGGATGAGTTCTTCTCATTATGAACCTTTCCATTGAAATGTTGATCCACCTCATTCTGTGATGGATTTGAGTAGAGGTCAAACAAGTTCTTTTCATTATGAACTTCTTTTTCTTCTTTGGATGAGTTCTTCTCATTATGAACTCTTCCATTGAAAATGAGAATCTATCTTCTTCTATGATGGATTTGAGTAAAGGTTGAACAAGTTATTCTCATTGTGAACTTCTTCTTTCTTCATCTATGATGGAATCAGACAAAGATTGAACAACTTCTTCTCATTATAAACTTTTTCTCTCTTATCGGATGAGTTCTGCTCATTATGAACTCTCTATCGGAAACGTCAATCCATCAAGCGAGTTGTTGATGATTGGAAGTGTTGTGAATCGAGCAATAAGTCAAACAAGCCCTTTTTAATATGAACTTCTTCTCCCTCTATCGGATGAGTTCTTCTCATTATGAATTCTCCATTGAAAATATCAATCCCTCAAGTGAAGCGTCACTGATTCAAAATATCGTGAATCAAGTATAGGTCGAACAAGCTCTTCTCATTATGAACTTCTTCTCTCTCTGTCGGATGAGTTCTTCTCATTGTGAACTCTCCATTTGAAATATTAATCCCTCAAGCGAGGCGTCATTGATTAGAAATATTGTGAATCGAGTGATAGGTCGAACAAGCTCTTCTCATTATGAACTTCTTCTCCCTCTGTCAGATGAGTTCTTCTCATTATGAACTCTCCATTTGAAATATCAATCCCTCAGTGTAGTTTTTTTTAGAGAAAAATAATCTCAAGTGAGATAAATCTTTGGTTTCGAGTGAAAATATCTCAAGTGAGATAAAATCTTTGGTTTCGAGTGAAACAATCTCAAGCGAGATAAAATCTTATATTTCAAGTGAAACCATCTCATGCAAGATAAAATCTTATGTTTTAAGTGAAACTATCTCAAGCGAGATGAAATCTTCTGTTTCGAGTGAAACTATCTCAAGCGAGATAAAATCTTCTGTTTAGAGTGAAACAATCTCAAGTGAGATAAAATCTTCTGTTTCGAGTGA